CCCTTTTGGGAGGGGAGAGGGGTTAGTAGCGTCTGTCATTCGTTAGGGACCGGCCCAGCCTCAAACCATGACACCTCATCAGATTCCCACCCTTCATCCCTGAGTTCACGTACTCCAGAATTTCTGGCCCAGTCTTCTGTAAAAATCACATTTTTAGATGAAGATTAGTTGTCTCAAATGTACTCTTTCTCAATTCAGACTTTTCCTCACTGCATTTTACTTAAAATTCTCCTACAAGGGAAAAAACAAGGGACACTAGCTCCTTGTTCACAACTCCACCTTCCAGTCTCACTCAGCTAAGCAGGGATCCCACAGATTTTCTACTGTCCCCTGATCCTGGAATGAAGCATTGCATGAGGATGACCCAGGTCATAATAAAGGGTCAGCACAGCACACTTATCACCACTGGCAGAGCTGCAAGGGGAAGCATACCCAGTAGCTGCTTGGTGGCACGATACACACCTGCCCAGGCCAGGAACAGAAGAACTAAAAAGCACGACAAGACGAATCTTCAGAAAAATAACTGTTATGACAGAGCTATACAACTAGGAAATATGAACAGCTCTTTGCAAGAGTTTATAACTCACATTGCAGTGGGCTCAGCAGCGAGCAAGAAGTACTTCCTAACAAAAGCAACCCTGCAACCCCAAAACATTTCAACCAAATTTCAAGTCATTACGTCATATCACAGGAGTCACTGGCCTATTCAAAAGAAAAGCTTAATGTTTTAGCACATGCAAAGTAACATTTGTTTTGTAATTTTCCCCTACGTCGTCCCCCCCCCCAGAGGTAACACATGGTATACACAGTAAGAGCTATGTGGAACAGAAAGAGTTTCAAACTTATCCCAACACGTCCTATTAACAAGTCATGTTACTACCAATAATTAGAATAAAAGACAGTTCAAGATTACTTTAAAAAAAAAAAGTATACAAATGAAACCTGGCACAGATGTTCCTTGCAGAGAATCTAAGCACTAAAATATGGAGTAAGATACCTGTAAAGAAACAACTCCACAGCAATAACATAAAACCCAAGACTACTTTGCCACATGCAAATCCCCCAAAGAGGAGAACTAGATAGCAGCTACGAAGAGCACACGAACCACTAAAGATGGGAAGGGTGGAAGCAAGCCACCACACTGCCACGTTCCAGAAGTGCTGAACTGCAGAACTTTCTAAAAAGATCAGCACTCTTCGAAGGAGCCACTTGAAAGCCCAGCACAGATACAAGACGACTTGAAATAACCATGGTAAAACAGGCACGAGCACGGGAAGGAAGATTCTAGGACTCAAAGTCTTTAATGACCATTACATCGCCATTCGTTCTGTAAGGACGACAGCCTGAGAAAGGTCACGAGGGTCACTGTACTTCTCATTTCTTTTCCCCCTTCTAAGTGTTCTCATTGTATTCTGCCATATGCAGACTCCCTCCTCCCCACAATTTAGTAATGCTGTATTTATTTATTCATAAGAGAGCCAACATTTTATTCAAGTCTTAAACTAACCTAGCTTAGGATAGTTTTCACCTGATCAGACAGTGTTTTCATAATGCTCATGTTAATGTACATCATTTCATAAACATTTCTCAATGCCTAAAATGGGGTATCCTTCACAATATATCCAAACAAGTATTTTTAGAGTTCAGCTTTTGCCTTCAAACAAACCACGAGGTGTTACATGTATGACTCAGAGACAAAATCCAGAACAAAGAACCTTGTACGTCAGCATACTAAGCTGCAAATTTTCATGGTTACTACCATTGGATTATTGATTAATTGAATACAGAAGAAGGAGATTTCATATTTATCTCCCCCGCAAGCAACAAGAGCGCCAAACTCTAAACGTATCCATTATAATTCTGTGGCATTCAAACAACATCCTATTTGATCCCATAACAAAATTATTTTTAAGGACTGTTTCCGTTCAAGTGCTTTCTCATTTGATGAGTTGTATGAATGATGGAGAAACAAATACTGCACAAACTACTTTTCTACAGCAGCTTGTATTGAAAAAAACAATTCTGTTGTGCTGGATGTTCTTAGCACTTTGATAACAACTGTGTAATAAGGATGTTATGCACAAATGGACCATGTCATTAAAAAGCAAAGCTTTCAATGCATTTTTCAAAGGCCAAACATAACTAATCACTTGCAGCAAATTACTACTTTCAACACACAAGAGGTTATCTTGTTTACCAAGGAGAACTTACAAACTCCTTACCTCCAAGTAGCTGTATATTTGTATTTTTTCTCAGTTTTGAAGGGAAAAAACCACCTTCCTGAAACTATGAGTATCCTCAATGTGTAATTTGGACAGTCTCACCAGCTACTCTCTCCTCTGCCTTAATCTCACCTAACCTATGAGCTCCTCTCTATCCTCCCAGGTTTGTTAGTGTTCCTCACTGCAGTCTCAGCCTAAATGGAAATTAGCAGAATGCTTCCAACACAATTCAAATGTACAAGCTTCGCAAGTCCTCCAGCTATTTTCCACTTCTTAACCCTTATTTAAATATACTTAGGCATAACGCTACTTAGACTTCTAGAACTGCTGCATCTATGCTTTAAAATTCTATCTTGGCATCTTTTCAAAGGATTTGATGAGAAGCAAACCTACCAACATAAGTTCAGTATTTTCTGTTTCAGAGCAAGAGGGAAGAAATGCACTAGAAACTGACTGCCCCCAAGCATCAGTTACAGCCAAGCTATTATAAAACACAAGCATGGGCAAACCCACTATGATCTGCAGAACTTCAGCTAGTCTATACCAGCATTAAACACAATCATTAAGACACCCAGATCTTTTCATGCACAAGATTATTTTTTCCTGAACATTTTTGTTTATTCTTAATCACTAGCATGTTGCTTTAAGTGGTTTCTAGCAGCAAGAAAAACAATGAGGTAGCTTATATCTTCCCCCAAACCCTACCTACATCCAAAACTGCATTGTAACTGGAATCTATTGACCTGCCTCGCAATAAAGCACCAGTCAGAAGTTGCTACACCCTTTAAAAAAGGATGTGTGCTTGTCCTTTTCAGTTACTGTGTATTTAAGTAATAAATTGTATTCAATGATCACAAAGAAGAATTCACTAGTATATTCATCCTTGTACAAGATTATTAAACAGCTATGAAGTTTCTTGGGACACTGTCAAAGTTTATTCTTATGCTGCACATTTGGTCAACTTTATTTTAACAGCATCATTCCATTGTGACAGCAGTAAAACGACGACTTACGTTGTTGATTTCTTTTGTCACTGGCATTTTTCAAAGGCAGGCACACAGGACAGTCGTGCCGAGTACAATTCTTCCAGTGGGAGATGATTTGTCTTGAAGATGCACAATGAGCAACTGTAACAAGGAAAAGCGATAGAATTAAGGTCACCCCTTGGTTAACTGCTTTTGAATTAACTCATTTTTTAAAGCAACTCTATCCTTTTCTCCTTCACAAACAATACTGCACATATAACTGAACATGGCTAAATGCAACTAGACTTTTTTGGGACCCGCCCATAATGCCATAACAAGTGAAGGAAACTTGTACTACAATCTAAGACAAAGATACAGTGGATATCACACCCCCTTTATACAACAGAGGAGACAAAGACACTTGTAAGGCTGCAGTGGTACTATTCTGCTTCTAAAGGGCAAATACTGCATTCTGTTTTCTAAACTGACAACTGCAGAGAGACCAGAAACAGAAACCAGGAAAAATAATGAAAAAGGGAGCAACTGTTTAATTAAAGAACCGGTTTTGGCATTCATTTGTGTCAGGTATAGGGATCTTCTTGACAAGCAGTGAAACACTGCTGACAAACACGCAAGAAACCCTACACAGCTCATTGGCAGAGCAGCTTCAGCAACGTGCGCTCACCTTGACAGGCCTTCCCAGCTTGACAGTGGGTCATGTGGTTGAGGACGTTTTTCATGGTCCGACAGTGCGGGAGAGCGCAGGCCCGCACCTCTCCATTCGCTTGCTCCCGTCTCTGACATTTGTGAGCGTGAAGCAGCAAAACCAACTGCTGCTGGATCAGTTTGCGCTTCTCCGGATCTGCTGTGGGTCCAGTTGCCATGGCCTGCGTCGGTACGATCCCCACTTGTTGTACTTGGGTTTGCATCTGGGACTGAGAACAAAGTTTAGCATCGCGTTTGCAAGTCTCAGTTCTGATCTTAATATTTTACAATAATTTGAGCGTCACAAGACTCTTTGCCAAGCATTCTGCTATGACTGGCTACAAAGATTATTACACCAGTCTGTAGCATTCTCAAGTATTTCAATTCTAACCTTGGAACAGCAAAAATGTATTAGAGGTTCCTCTGTTAAGACATTTACAAAGAATAGTTTAAGTAACAAGCCATCCAGAGATCTTCTGTTTATTAGACAGAACATAATTCCAACAGGAATAAGCTCTAACCAGACTTGGAGGTGGAATTCAAGTCTGTTTAGTATTATATTTTCATATTATAGGTTTTATACACTTCAATCCTAGTTTCTTACCCCCAACAGAAAGGAGGCCCATGGGAGAAGACAGTCAAAACTACATGATTGTCTCTATGTATTATGGTAAAAGGTAGAAATGATTTTCCAAGCCTAAATCAGCTTTTTTTCTCACCAGTGAGTGCTGATATTCCTTTCACAGAGAAAGCTTCCAAGGTTACAGTTTTCTCCCAGAAAGGGCCACCAAAATCTGGATTGCATTATGTTCACAGAAGTGAACTAGAATTAACTACAGGGTGATGCTAGCTTGTAAAATCCACTGTGATTTATTTCCAGCATCCATTCTTTCTGGACACACTTCTGTACCAACACCCAAGCCCTGCCTGACAAAGCCTGCATACCCAGAGATCTTCAATCTAAGACATAACTCCTAACAGTGCAGAACAGAAATAGTTTCCTTAACACGTCATTCTTCAGCACAGATTTAGAAGCTTTTCTACTACCTTCTTGGACCTTTGAAGGACAACAGATGTAGAAACCTGGTTTTCAAAATTAAACACATTCACAGCCTGCAACGACTCCACTAGCAGGAGCAGATACGGGACTGCAAAAGTGCTTAAACCCCTGGGATTTGCAGCCTGAATTCATCTCATGGACAAACGTGAAACTGTCTCAAGAATCACTTTGATTATGTACTGTACAAACAGGTTACCACAGAAAAGCTCAGCAACTTCTAAGCCACCCACGGAAAATCAGCCATTAAACCCACTTATAAATAGAACATAGGAAGAACAGGATTATACGGTGAAGGTAACAGAAAATAGTTCAGTGCTGTCTACAGAACTACTGACCAAAGCCTGCTTGCTACGTTTAAGGAAAATCACACTCAAGTGACAGAATATACCATTTGTAGCCTGTTCTATTTTGAGCTTTGAGAAGGACTTCCCAGAAAATTCCACAGCCTACAGAACAGAGCACATAACAGCAAAACCCCCTTGTTTTCTTAGGTCAACAAAAGACTCCTGGCACAAGTTCTCACTACTCCAGCAGCAAGCTTTGTCCTCAGCTTTGCCACCTGCACATCAGGTTTTAAAGAGCTGGCTCTTCTTCTGCAGAACGAAGCACACAAGATCAAGCAGAAAACACAATGACTGGTGTTTGATGGAGGAGGTGGAGACTCTGCCACTGATAATGATTATACTAAGTCTTAAATAAAGAGCAAATGCTGCATCTGTTTGTCTTAAGCTTGCAAGAAAAAGAGCAATAAAAGGAAAGAGGGTGAAGGAAACCCATCTACTTATGCTCCCAGTGCATGCAGCTGAAACGGAGTTTTCCATTTCTTCTGTGAACAAATCTACAAGAGCAGACAGGTTTCGCTGAAACAATTCTTGTGTCACAAATAGGAAACAATTAGTTCAGCCAATCTACAGAAAAAATATAGAGAACACGCCAAAGAAAATCTTGTTGGAAGCAATGTTTGCATCCCAGTCAAAGAATTGTTTCCCAAGCCAAGTTCTCCTTTTGTTACTACCCCACTAGTTAACAGACACGATAACAGCTGTATCAGCACAGATGCCCTGGCCCAAAAGGATTTCTTGATGACTGAATAACAGAAAAGCAGAATTGTGGAGTATCAGTAGTTAGATGAACAAGCAGCCTTGGTCCAGCTGACAGCGTCTGCAGGTAGGCACAAAAAAACCAACTCTGAGCATTGCCTAAGCTCTATACAGTTACGTTGGTCACTGTTTCAACCTTGTAAACCCTAAACCTGCAAATATAACAAATGATCTTTCCACCATCTGTCTTAATTTCTGGACTGTTGACTGTTTGAGGAAGCTTATCGCTTCCCTGTTAATTTGTCTTTTAAGAACAGTGGCCTGCAGGACCAGTTCAAAACTGGAGATATGCTAGTGCACTGCAGTCATGCAAAGGCGCGCAAATCCTCTATCAACCACAGGAATCATTCCACTCCAGAATGAGCAGGAGGCTTTGCCTGAATGACTAACGATCTTCTTGATGAAGTAGGAAATTCAGACACTTCTGCTCCCACAATTAAAATAAATGCTTCAACGGCCAGATACATGAGGTAAAAAAGATAGCTTTGCTTCTCTTGCTGCCTGGCTGAGCTCCACCATAAACAGAACAAAGAGATCAGGGGTTGGAAACCTGCTAAACCTCCAACAGAGATAGTAGCTTCATTAAACAGTTTTCTAGAAACAGAGTAATAACACACTTGCATAATATAAAGCAGCTATTAATACCATTTAAAATCACGGAAACTATACATTCATACAGGAAAACACGTCTGCCCTGTCCCTATTCTGAGGAGCAAAAACCTCCGGTGCTTTTGGGCAGCATAGATGCACAAATATCTCATCTTCATGGACCTGGAAGGACACAAAGTTCCCTGGTGGTTTTACTTTACTGAGATGACCAGTGATCCTCTATGTTTCAATGTGTTTATATTCAAAAGCCTCAACATCATCTATCGAGATCAACTACTACACATCTCTTCTTATAAAAGCAGGGACCCATTTCAGTAGCACTAAAAATGCTTTCAAACAGGTAAATAATCTGATATAGAACTCAGTGTCAGCCTAGCTTCCACTTAGCACTACGTTTTTAAAATACATTTCCTCTTCCATAATTTCTTTTTATTTCCACATTCTTCCCTTCTCCCTGAGAGAAAACCACCACTTTCTGGAATCACTGTATTAGGACAAATCCTGCATTTATGAAATGTCTTTTAATTCTTTAAGACAGGTTTGTAATCAACAGTGGATCTTAGACAGGTAATTAAGAATCCACTGCCACAAGGGATTACTATTTTGATACAGTTGTTTGTTTTACAGACCTGCCGTCTGGTTAGGGTGAGGGAAGGTAGCGCTTTATACTTGGGGTTTCTCACTCTCCTGACATCTTGGATTAGAAAAGGGACGTTATTTACAAGTGACAAGGGATTTTTAACGTGTTAACCACATGTGCATTTACATTATGGGCACACCCAGTCTACAATTAACACTCTAAAAAAAATCAACCCTTGCAGTATCTGCAGAGCGCAGGGTTGCATCCCACCTGGGTGAAAGGCACCCAAACCTCTTCAGTTCCCCTTCAATCACAGGCCTAAAGTGTGAACTGGAGGGTCCCTTTCAGAGAAGGGATAGTGGGCACAAAGTGGATCTACACATGAACTGCAAATCTCAAATAACACTTCTAATTAGCAACACTTCCATCTGAATTAAGTATTCACAGTGTGATCAACTCCAATCATGAACCCTGCATATTTACATTAAGATTGAAAGAAGTCCTTCCTGCAAATAGGAATTGCAGGAATGCTCTAATAAGCATTGAACGAGCTGCAAACAGCCCAGGAAGCACTGCTGTGCCATGAAACTGCAACTGCAAGGAGAGCTCAAGCAGCACCTATCTGATGGCATCAAGGAGGAGGTGTTTCTCAGTGCAGTCACTTAATGAACCCGGCTTTCTCCAGTGACTACCACAGCTTCATCACTGTGAAAGTGACACGGAATCGGTTTACACTTCTTGTAATTCACTCTAATATTCTCTATGTGAGTGGTGATTTCTCTGGTTCCACCAGTTACGGTGAACAGGCATGGTCTGAACAGCCTAGTCCTATCCATACAGGAAGGATCTTTCCGACACCAGCAACATTAGGTCTGCTTTGGCTCGAGAAGTCCAGGCACACACAGAACCGGCTGACACGAGCAGAACTACTAACAAGTGCATACAAGTGTGCCCAGCAACCCTACAGTGCTGCATTTTCTCATCCAAGCATCAGAAGGAATCAGAATCTGAGTCTGTATCATGGGCAGAAGCCTTATGACAAGGGAAAAAAGGCTTCCTGAACTGGACACAGCCTCTGAAGGGGGTCATGCTCCCTGGAGAGAGATCGACTTGAGTGGCAAGAAATGACATTAGCCTGTCAGCAGCACCAATCTGAGAGCTTGCAATGCAGCTCCAAACGAGAAGGGAAGGCGACACTCCAGCTCCCACTTACAAAGCTGAATGATGGTCTTAACGTGATGCATGGTCCTAACAGGAAGTACGCTGAGAGCCCAAGACTTATTTCAAAGCTTTGGCACTGACATGACTACAGGTGGAGTTTTCATGTCAGGAGTGAAACGGAGTATTTTCATCTTCCAACTTCCACTTGTCACTATAGAGTATACCTCTGAAGCTGGTACTGGGGAGTGAGCCTTGCAAGCCCATGGCAACCACAAAAGGCGAGAAGGCTCCTATGGTCACTCTATAGAAGGAACTTGAGAGTCCTAGAGAGCACCCTCAATCCACTTGGCTTTTAATCACCAAAAGAGTTTTCCTCTAAAACCAGCAAACGCCTCAGTATTATGCAGTTGACTCTGCTGGGAATCAAGGCTGGATCAGCATCTTTCTTAAAGACACACTTTTAAAGTTTTATCTCCTTGTCTTTATAAGCTTCTTGATTTGAAGGACCAGCAAATGACAAGAAACATACAACTAAGTATTTCAAAGCAATAAAATGGAACTAAGCTTGATACAGGACTCTGCAGACAGAGTCCAGCTCTCACACACAGGAAATTAAGTGAACAAAATTTTAAGAGCTTTATATAGAATTTACTGGGCGATAAAACAAGACTGGAGAACCATCAACATTAAAAATCCTTATCTGTGGACATCAGACAAATG